GTCACGACAGCCCCATGCAATGCTACAGGTTTGGGGAGGAGTGGCTGGAGAGCTGCCTGGCAGAAAAGGACCTGGGAGTGTTGGTCAACAGCCGGCTGAATATGAGCCAGCAGTGTGCCCAGGTGGCCAAGGCAGCCAATGGGATCCTGGCTTGTATCAGGAATAGTGTGGCCAGCAGGACCAGGGAGGTGATCGTCCCCCTGTGCTCGGCACTGGTAAGACCACACCTCGAGTACTGTGTTCAGTTTTGGGCCCCTCACCACAAGAAGGACATTGAGGTGCTGGAGCGTGTCCAAAGAAGGGCAACGAAGCTGATGAAGGGTCTAGAGCACAAGTCTTATGAGGAGCGGCTGAGGGAGTTGGGGTTGTTTAGTTTGGAGAAGAGGAGGCTGAGGGGAGACCTTATCGCTCTTTACAACTACCTGAAAGGAGGTTGTAGCGAGGTGAGGGTTGGTCTCTCCTCCCAAGTAACAAGTGATAGGGCAAGAGATGGCCTCAAGTTGAGCCAGGGAAGGTTTAGATTGGATATTAGGAAGAATTTCTTCACTGAAATTGTTGTCAAGCATTGGACCAGGCTACCCAGGGAAGTGGTTGAGTCTCCATCCCTGGAGGTATTTGACAGATGGGTAGACGTGGTGCTTAGGGACATGGTTTAGTGGTGGACTTGGCAGTGTTAGGCTTACAGTTGGACTTGATTATCTTCAAGGTCTTTTCCAACCTAAATGATTCTATAATTAATAACATTCCAGAAAATAACAGTAATTAATAATATGGTCCCTTTGAAAAATGTGATCAGTAATGGACAGCCTGATGCAGTGCTAAGAACAAGTGTTAACAGAGCCATTGCAATAGGCATGATCACAGCAGTACCTCAGGCGTGCTCACTATATATATATATATTTTTTTTTTTAAAAATAATCCTTGTCTTCCTTTTTAAACCTAATTTTCTGTCTTTTAGAGAAGTTAAGTGGTATCATTTGAAACAATTGAACACTTTACCAGCTGCCTTCAGAAAAGGTCATAGAACATTCATAGACTTTAGAGAAAAGATTGAAAGCTTTCTGAAAAGGTATTACATGGAGTTGATCTGAATAAATTGTTGCTAGCTGTTTGGAGTCACCAGGGCTCAATCAAAGCTTCAAGGCTGCATCCTCATTTGGTCTTAAAAAAGGACTTAAACTTCTTTCAACCACCATGATTAGATTGAACATCCAGTTATGGCATATAGCTAGATGTCAAAAGAACTTGTTAATTTATTTTGAAAAGGCCTATGTATTTTCAAAGGGTATTTCTTGAATAATAGTCCTTTGAAAAGTTCTGTTTTGCTGTTTCTTCTAATATTTGGCAAACCAGCAACAGTCCTCACAGACTGCATACTCCTTGATAATTTTGGACATAAATCACTATGAAAGCGTCAAATGAAGCAGTTAGGCATTGCGTATGAAGTAAGCTGTGTTAACTAAGGATAGGACATAAATCTCTTTTGTTTATAAAAACAAGAGGGAGAATTTTCAGATAAGAGTGCTGGAGCAGAACTAGATGCTCTGTTTCTAGAGGCTGCTGCTTTTTTTGGTGAACCTTGTGTATGGAAGACATGAGGTGGGACTGGGAATATCAATCTCTCTGCTTGGAGAGACTGCTTGGCAAAGATGAGAAAACCTTTTTTAAAAAAAGAATCACAGTCTTCAAAGTTTTTTTCTGTTTATTTTTGTTACTGGTAACAGGTCTCTGGAAAAATACCATTTTAGAAACCTCCAAAATTATGTGTGCCAGTGTCACTGTTTGCCTGCAGTACACTTGACGCACACATACTGATTCAAAGCTCAAGTGCTCTTTTAATAGTAACTACACACATTAATTTAGGAGGTATCTCTGATAGAGGTTGCAAGCTTTTCTGCCAGAATATATGTGCTGGGCAAACAAAGGTTCCTTTAGCCTCATATACCAAGCTCATTGAAATGTAAATATTTTGTGTGGAATACATAAAAAAGTACTCATGGGCTTACTTAGTTTTCTTTATAGAGCTGCTCTCTTGGTAGAGTGTTAGTTTTAAATGAACGAACAGTAATCACTAATTGTCCTTTTTTTAAATTCCTCTTCAATTAGAGCCTGGTTATTGCCAATGCTGGTCTCGGTAATGGGATGAGTAGACACCAACTGCTCAGGATAGTAGAAGAATATGGATTGGTAGAAACACTCTTAATGCCACCGAATAAACCATATTCATTTGTGAAATATGGGACAACAGAAGAAGCCAAGAAAGCCTTTGATGCCCTTAATGGAAAAGAAGTGACACTGGAAGACTTTGGCCAAAACATTGTTCTCTATATTAATTTTGTAGAAAAAGGTATAATTTTTCTGCTCTCCCATATATCCAACTTCCTGCATACTGCTTCCCTTTGCTTTTACTTCCTAGGTTGTAAATATAGCTAAAAGCACATTAGTCTTCGTAAGTAGACACAGAGAATGAAAGCCAGAATCTAAAATTCAGGACATAAAATAATCTTTGTTCCTTGTATTTCATGGTAAGGTACTCTAATTTGAACTCCTTTACTTGGAGGCAAAAGGAAAAAAGGATTTAGGTAGTTTCTAGACCATTCAATACTGCACATGAAGGTTTTGTGATTAAGGAGCTAAATTGGGACCCAGGAGATCTCTGGACATTTCATTGGATTTCTTGTGTGACCTTAGTCTTGCGATCTCTGTCTCAACTCCAAGAAGTAAAATAGGCACAATAAGATTTCTGGCTTTTTTCCCCCTTCTCTCCAGGCTTTTTTTATGGCTGACTATAAGCTCTTTAGTACAAGAACTGTTGCTCTTTCTATGAGCTTTTACAGTGTCTAGTGGAATGGGTTCCTGGTGTTGGTCTGTACATTCTGCCAGCGAATAGCTTTTCTAAGCTGTAAGGACAGCCAGCTGAATGTCCCTACATCACCAACATTTTGTGTTCACCTAGGTATTGCATTATGCTCCTTGATATTTGATTACAGACTGCTTCTTTGGACAGAGAGAGTAATCTGATGATTTGGTAAATCATCAAAGTTATAGAAAATTAAAATGAAATGCAGGTAGAATCCTGAAGTGATTGGGAAATTCTTGTTACTGTTATTTTGACAGGAAAATCACAAGTGGTTTTGCGTTTGAATAATGTGGAATCTTGTTGGTCTTATGCAGTAAAATTTTTAGAAAATGCTTTGCATGATGCAAAACTTGGGCCTTATCCTGTTTTGTCATGCCAAAAAGGGATCATTCATTCACCAAATAAGACCCCAATGAGGGCTCCATTGTATCATGAAAGTAAATATTTCTACAGCTGTACTATATTCTCATACATAGTAAATATCCCCATAGGGAACACATGGTTTTATTTTCTCTGAACAGTGACAATATTCACTTTTTCCATACACCCTAGTTTTCTGGAAGAATGCTGTTCCTCCAAGCTTGCCTCCAGGCCTAATGGTCATTGAAAAGATTATTTCTCCAGAGGAAGAAAAGAGAATGTTGGAAAGTATTGACTGGACAGGAGATGAAGATACTCAAAATGGTGGGCAATACCATAGAAATCCAGACCTTCCATACTTTTATGCTGTTTTTTCCTACAGTTTCAGTTTACAAGAAGTCTACATCTTGGTAAATGCATTGTTTGAAATCATTGTGTACTTAGTATTTGAGAAATTGGGTCTTATATTGCAAGTGATAAATGCCTGGGGGCAAGTGGTCTGAATTGATATTCTGGTATGGATTTACTTGAATAATACTCCTGCATCCAGGAACAACTAAAGTCTTTTTTACGTGTCTTATGCCAAGCACAAGACTGTTCTGTGAAGGTTACTCTTGTAATTTGATGTCCAACTGAGGAGCCGTGTCTTCTCTTAAATCAAAAAGAAGTCAGTGAGAGACACGTTCTGGATGCTTTTGTGCTTTCACTTGAGCTTTGTGGAGTTAAATCTCTTAACAAATTAATTGCTCTTGGAATTCACTTCAAGGTTTCTGTGTAAATTTTGTTCCTTGGAAGAACACAAAGGGTTATATTGACCTTAGCTAACATGTAACTTGGTAATTGGTGAAAGTGAAGGATCCTGCTGTATTCATAGGATATTAATCAAGTGGAAGTTCAGAGATCAGGGCAAGAATAAAGATGCATTAAACATGGCTCAAGAAAATTGGTACTCTCTACTTCTTTCATGTACAAAAACCATCAGCTTGACTTCATACAGCCGTGAATGTGATGCTTGATGCAAATACAAAAGGTAATAAGGCAGAAGCATGTGCCATGAAGAATAAGGGTTGCACACATTGTTTCCACTGTTAATTAAAGAATGTTTAGATTTAACAGGTCAGATGGAATAGGGAAGCATAGCAAATTGCCTATACTGTTTTATGTAGTCTAGTCTTACTTTCAACTTGCGTGTTTTTACAGCCCAGAAGACTTTAAAGCATAGAAGAGTAAAACATTTTGGATATGAGTTTTGCTATGATAACAACAATGTTGATAAAGACAAACCTTTACCTGGAGGTGAGAACTTCCCTATTAAATCATACTTATTTCTCACTGATGTTTGAACCATTATATAAAGCCTTTAAGCCTCACTGAGATATGGATGTGAGATTCTAATTAAAGGAGAGGTGAGATTCTAGTAAGAGGAGAGCCTTCACTGTATCTTAAGCACACACCAAACAGTGCTTCTGAATGGGATTTATTCCAAATTACTGTGAGTGCTTGAAGCTTGCTTTCCAATCACTTGCAGCCAGGGATTGCTGCCCTTTGTTGAGGTCCAGTCAAATAAGACTTTTGTGATTGTAATTGTCATTCTTTTTTAGCTTTGTTTCATAAAACAATTATGTGTTACAAATTATGTGTTCATTTGTTTGGGGATTGTGACGTATATTGCTGTGTATATTTATCTTGACTAGCTTGAAGCTTGCTGGATGCACACCAGAATAAAATTCCCTTTGGAGTGAAAGCAATTTTGAAAAGGTTTGAATAACTCTTATTTGGAGTTGAGAGCTGTGAGTCAGAGCAAAGTGAGTCATCTTATAGTCTTAGATTTAAAAATAGTAAAATAGAGGAGTTAAATTCCTGTAAAACTTGAAGGTGTTTAAGGTGGTGCATGTGTACTAGGGTGGATGCGGCTTCCAACAGGAGGATTCTGGTTATGTTGTGGTTTTAGCAGTGAAGCTATATAATCATAAAAGCATTGGTATTTGAGATGTTTTCTGGTCTCACAGCTAGAATATTTTATGTGTGAGAAAAGCATAAACACTTCATTGGGGGAGAAAAATTGAAAAATAAAAATCAATAGTTTCATGAAAGGGCTGTTACTAACATGTTTGTGTGTATTACCTCCAACAGAATTTTACAGTGAAGTCCTCAGGTAAAAATAGCAAACCAAAGATTCAGTGAAGGACTGTAAATTTCATGCCTGTTTCAAAACCACTTTACCTTCAGCAGATTTTTTTGGTGATATTTAATCTAACTCAGTAACAGGTTTTTAGGGGCTAAATTTTTTTAGAGAGCTCTCTGCACAACTTCTGACTTTCTGCATAATTTTGCTTCTTGACTGCAACTTTTTTACTGTAGTTGGTGGAAACTTTGCCTCTGATTTGATATGCTTTAATTATGTGCAGATAGTGCAGTCTGCATTTGTAAGGAGTGGACCTGATCTGCTTCTGAATGCAGAGGCTTTGGAGGAATGGGCTTTCTAATTATGAGATGTTATAAATATATTGGACTTTCAGATCAGGCCCCCAGCTGTATGTGTTACAGCAAATGCAGAGTGATCATTATTGACGGTGGACTTATGTATCTATGAAGCTGTTTCTGTGTATTTTGTCCAGTTATTATATTTATTGTAAAAAGAAAGGATAAAAATATCAAAAGCTATCCTGTTTTGCTTACAGTTTTGTTTCTATAACTAGGTCTTCCTGAAATTTGTGACCTGTTCTTGGAGAAGTGCTTGAAGCAGGGATATATCAAACATAAACCTGATCAACTGACTGTAAATCAGTATGAACCTGGACAAGGTAAGTTTATTTGTCCTTCAAAAATTTTGAGCTCTTTAGCTTATGTTGTGATTTAACCCTGATAAGCAACTAAGCACCACACAGCCACTTGCTCACTCCCCCTCATTGAGATAGGGGAGAAAATGGGAAGGATAAAAGTGAGAAAACTTGTGGGTTGAGATAAAGACTTTTTAATAAGTTTAAAAAAAAAAAGGAAAGAAAAGGTAAGCAAAAAAAAAAAAAACAAGCAAAAAAAAAAAAAAAAAAACAATAGAGTTTTATTGCTGAGCATGATGTCATATGGTATGGAATATCCCTTTGGTCAGCTAGGGTCAGCTGTCCCAGCTGTGTCCCCTCCCAACTTCTTGTGTACCCCTGGCAAGAAAGGACCTGGATGCTGTGTAAGCACTGCTCAGCAATAACTAAAACATCCCTGTGTTCTCAACACTCTTTTCATCACAAATCCAAAACGTAACACCATGCAAGCTACGGTGGAAAAAATTAACTCTATCCCAGCCAAACCAGTGCAACTTAACTGAAAACCAGAAGGAAATAGCATCTAAATGTGACATGGTGTAGGGACAGGATTTAAGCACCTGCTTAGCTTATTTCCTCTGTGACCAGGAATGCTTTGAATCAAAACTGAAGTCTTCATACTGGTTTGTGAACCCCGGAGCTTGTGTTTAGAAGTACATTTCTTGATACTACTGTTATGGAAATTGATGGTGTTTCAAAGTCCAAGGCCATAACATGGAAACTAAACATAAAAAGATACAGGAATAAATGGTCATATTTGGTTTTGTACTCAGTGCATTCTTTCACTCCAGACTCTTCTTGCTCTCTGTACTGTGCATACAGTCTCCAGGAAATGGCTCTTGCTGTTATATTATATATATATATAATAGAAAAATATATATATTATATGATATAATGTTACTATATGTGATATATGGACTCTTAAGTATGATGCAAGCAGTGTTCCCTTATCTGAGGAATAAGAAATTATTCTATTTCTATTTCTGTTTCTATCTTTCCCAAACTGGAGACATACAAAGAGAAATTTGCTTCTAATCACACCTCTAAAGAATAAATCACATGCTGTGCTTTTTGCTAAGGTCAGTCATCAAGGCTAAGTATCTGTCTTCCTTTCTAGAGTAGATATTTCATTTGTCCTTAGGAAGAAAGGACAACAGCTTTCCTTTCAGAATTAATGTCTGACAGCTAATACAGTGTCTGCCAAACAGGGGTCTGAAAAGCTGATCCTATTTGTTTATGTATCTGACAACCTGTTAAATTGATACAGTCATGTACTTCTGGCTGGGACATCAGAGGAGATTAGTTACGATTGTAGATGTCTGTCAAGAATAGAAGCAGTTTTTAAAAAAAAAAAAACAAAAAAAAAACAACCCCAAAGCAAAATACCTTTTCTTAAGTGCAAATTGTTAGGATCTGAATGAGCGGAGAGTGCCGTCAGATTAATACCTTCAGTATCTGTGTTCCAAGCCAGATTGTCACTGGAAATTACACTTGAGACTTTAAAAAGTGACTGATGACTTTGGGTATCTAAGCTGTAGGGGCCACACTTAAGACACATTAAATTAATTCCTTTTTGAGAGCACTTTTTTCATTCAGGGTCCTAATAATATTTAAAGTTGTAGATTTATACTTGAAAGTTCCCATCCACTTTTGAATGCTTAGATCTTGTACTATGTGCTGCATATATGGAGTATGAACAGCAGGTGGGTAGGTCACTGTGGTCTTGATTGAATTGTCTGGGTGATGCGGAAGAGAGCAGTTGATGTTCTCCTGTTGCGTAGTGAATTGCACTCACTTCAGTGCGCATCTGAAGGCAGAGTTTCGGTGCTTGGTACTAAGGCAAAGTTATGAGCAAACACAGATATGTCTTTGGTTTTCAAGTCTCGCTGATTTTCTATCATTAAATATTGGCATCATAGAACACTTGTATTGCTTTCACTGAAACTAATGGAATTCAGAATATTTACATCTGGACGTAAAATCTGGCGTATAATAAGGATACATTATAGGGCTGACTGTCACTCTTAGGAAAAAAATGTTTTCAGCTCAGAAATTTGATGGTGTCCAAAATGAATGTGGGTAGAGCTTTTAATAGCAAACATAACTGTTTTGGTGTGGATCACATAGGAGTTACTCTATCTGTCTGGGCCTGCTCTGGTGCCAAAGGAAGGCATAGTTGCAGTTCTCCCGAGCTGTCTGCTGGCCTTGCTCCATTGCTGGCTACAGTTCCCCACCATGCGGTGAGATCTTGCTGTGGCATGCCCACTGCTGTTTCAGCACTTGGTGTTGAAATGCATGGCATGAGCTGTGCGGAATGGCAGTTTCTTTCCAATTAGCAGATCTGAAAGAAAAATTAATAAAAAAATTGCTGTCCCTTTGGCAATTCTCAACTACGTGTGGTTACTAATCCTCACACCAACCGATATAGTACCCAGGGGTTAGCCTAGTATGTGGAGTTCTCCTGGGACCTGCAAAGCAGAGGCAGGGTTTGACCCTGACAGTGTCTGCATTTGTGGTGGTAGGTCCTAATTCTGAGGCTGAGACCCTTAGCGCAGTCATTTGCTTAGCAATGGAAGGAGTATTTGGGATGACTCCTTCTCTGGGAATAAAGAGAGGGAGAAATGCATGATCATGGATGAACTAAGGCCCAGAATCGCCTAAGATAGCGTAACTGTTAGTGCTAAGTGCTAAGCTGCCTAAGGGGAGAGCATAGTGATTTCAGGTGCTCTCTGCAGCAAGGAGAGCATGTGGAGTCTTCAGAGGGTAAGCGAGGCCTTTGGGTGCTCTGAACTGTCTTCTAGATATTGCCACTGATTATACAGGATACTTGTGTTAACTGTGTGCATCTAATCTGGGCATGTAAATCAGACAATTGTCCTGAATTTTTTTGGAAGGTAACTCCCTCCTTTATCATAAGTTTTGTTTGTTCAACCATACATCCCAGTTTTCTATATGGACGTCCATGGAAATATAGCTTGCTAACAGAGATACCACTCTATTATTATTATACTGACTTTTTTGGTTTTTTTCTTATGCAGGAATTCCTCCTCATATTGATACGCATTCTGCTTTTGAGGATGAAATAATCTCTCTCAGTTTAGGAGCTGAGGTAAACTTAATGTTTGTATGTGTTTTGTTAATGCTTTACCGGGAGCTTTCATTTTTCTATTGTTTAATACAAGTTACTTTGATTTTCCATTCTGACTGCTCACACTTTTGAGTTTAATACCAAGCATGTAAGGTAATGTGATATACTAATTAAATAAGTAACTGCGATGTGATGTTGTCACTGGAAGATTTGCCAGTGATATCAGTGATACCCTGTTTTTAAATCTTAGCATCCAGTTCTCCATCGACCTTCCTTCTTTTCGTGTTAATCTTAGAAAGCATATCACTCCTGCTTATGTTTCTATTTCCATTTTTTCCTGTGTCATCCCCTGTTCCCTCTGGTTCTCATAAGCCTCCCTTTATTTTTATATTCAGTACATTTACAGTAGGCTAATGTAGATGTATTACCTGTAGAAGGTCCACTCAGAGTCTGAACCCTACTGACCTAGTTGTGGTGCAGGCAGGGGTAGACTCTGATCTCACGAGCTTCCAACATATGCAGATGATGTAGACAAAGAGTGGGAAGGGAAATGGAAGAACAGTGGACTGGCACAAAGTCACGTAACATATCAAGAGTAGGGCTGAAAACAGTCCATATCATCTAGTCTCAGTGCTCTGATTAGTGTCTTTACTTTTACTCTATTTGGATTTATCTGCTGCATCTGTGCCCATCCATGTTTTACAAATTTAGTGTTACTTTCTCTGCCTTAAGCACTACTGCAGCGAGTCGTTGCTACCTGGCCTTCCCATCTTCCTACACATTTCTTGAGATTGTATTCTACACATCTGCAAGGCCTGCTTCCATTGCTGTCTTGGGCTTTTTGTGACAGAAGAGTTACATCTATTGCTGTGTATTCCCATGGTAGTCGATAACTAGAAGCTGAACAAGGCTAAGGACAAGTTATTGCAATCGGTAATAAAGGTTTGACTTTTGAATCTTTCTGTTGAAAAGCTATGAATGGTGTATGAGAATGATCTAATCTTCTACTTGTTTTTTCTGGCAGTGGCATGTAGATGACACAGATGTGTGTGGTTATAGAGTTGTACCTGTATTACCGGTAGCGTTCTTCTGTTACAAAACAACTTTGATTATTGCTCTCAGTTTGTCTTACTCTTTAGGCAGAGAGAGGAGCATGGCTGGATATTCTGAGCACTCACATTTTTTGAATCTTTAGTCTGTGCTCTGGCATCGACTTCCTTTTCTTGCAAGTTGTGTAGTGCATGTGGAGCTCCTGGGACTAAGTGTGAGTCTAAGGAAGGACAGCTTTTTCATTAGCATCTGTGGCAGTGGCACATCTGTGTTCTTGGTCGCTTGAAAAGGGGGTATCAGTGTTGCCAGTCCTCTCAGCCTGACCATGGATGTATTTGTCCACCACTCACAAAAGCATCCACTGGAGCAGGCAGTGGCAGTAGCGTTCTTACTACTTTTGTTTTGGAATCTCCCAATCTAGGGGCTACTTCCTCATGTGGCTTCTGCACTTAGCCTTGTCTCAGAGATAGTGTGTTCTCCTCTGTTCAGCTGCAATGTTGTCTTTAACAGTGCCAACACCTCCATGCTAGGTAGCCCATGAGAATGTCCATTTCTTTCATGCAGTTTCTCTAGGAGAAGGGCTCTAACTGATCTTCTGTGCAGTTCATCCATCCTAAGTTTTATTTTTCTAATACATGGTGAGTATTCAGGGCACCACAGCAACAGTAGATGACCCCAACTTACAGCTGTTCCTATTCTGATCTTGTAAATAAAAAAAAAGTTATTTTATAAAAACTATATTGGTGCTGTAATTTCAAATGTTCTGCCTCAGTCTGCAGCCCCATGCCTTCTTACCCTTTCCATTTCAATTAAAAGGCCGACTCTGGCACAGATGCTCTGTTATCTCATTGATGAGGCACCAGAGGCAGTGCATTTCTGGATGATCATATTACAGCACACCTTTGTGATGGTCTCGGAGATGACCAAAAGCCAGAGTGATTTTAATCACCTGAGAAATACAAACCTTTCTGGGAAGTGGACTGCCTGGAGCATTATGATGCAGTTAAAAATTGGAATGTGTACATTTCAATCAGGGAAACAGCCAGACTTGGGCCATTCCCAGATATTTCAGGCATAGGCATTGGATGCGGTCTGTTAGATAGCTCCCAAGTTTCAGTGCCTTTTCCTAATGAGCCATTAATGCACTTTTCAGGTGCAGGCAATCAACGCACACATGTAGCAATACAAGCCAGTGGCCCATGAAATCCTGCATTATTTAATGGCTTTTCTTTTTGGTACTTTTATAAGTTTTTATGATTTCTTTAATGTGTTTTTGTGCACTTAGCTCTTCATCTGATTTTAAAATGTAAGTATCAGTTGTAGTGATATGTGAGTTAGCTATTTTAGGAGTGAAGCCCCCTACTCTGTTCCTATTAAAGCTTACCATGTACAAAATTTACACACTCTGATAATTAATTGGAGTTGCATATACAGCAGCAAATTTTGGTATCTGTCTCTTCTCTATTCTTCTCTCTGTAGTGTGACTATTTTTTTTTCACCTGAACAAATTACATAATGGAAAACATACATAAACGAAGTCGTATGTCTTTTCTTTATTCTTCTCAACAGTAAATGCACACATTTAAATAAAAAGTGCCGTAAGGAGATAATCTTGCAGCCCAACTAGTTCTGTATCCTATTTTGGAAGTTGGCTAACCAGACACTTCAGAGGAAGAAAGGAAAGCAGAATGCCTCATATGGTTTATTCTTATACTAAGTCATGGAAGGAGCTTTTCTTTTGATTGTTTGTATGCTTGTCCTTCCAGGATCTGAGTTAGGCAGGTTCTAGTAACTAGTAATGTTTTGGCTTATGAAAAAGAAGTCTGTGGCAGAGCAGGGAACTAAACACAAGTGCCTTCCTAGCCTAGTGCCTCAGCTATCAGCATAGGTTCTCAAACTTCGTGTATCATCTTTGCAGAACCATAGAATTGTTTAGGTTGGAAGGGACCTCTTGAGGTCATGTAGTCCAAGGCCCCTGCTCAAGCAGGGTCAGCTAAAGCAGTTTGTCCAAGACTTTGTCCAGTTGTGTTTCCAATATCTCTGCAGATGGAGACTCCAGAACCTCTCTGGGCAACCTGTTCCAGTGTTAGACCTCCCTCACAGTAAAAAAAAAAAAACAAACTGTTTTCTTGTGTTCAGATAGAATCGCATGGGTTTTAAATTGTGCCCATTGTCTCTTGTCCTGTTGGTGGACACTACTAGGAAGAGTCTGGCTCCCTCTTCTTCATTCCCTCCCATCAAGTATTTATACACATTGACAAGCCATCTTATATGAGCCTGAGCCATCTCTTCTCCAAGCTGATCAGTCCCAGCTCTCTCAGCGTCTCCTCATATAGAGATATTCCTTAATCATCTTCATGACCCTTGCTGGACTTGCACATATCTTTCCATATATTTCTTGTAGTGGGAAGTCCAGTCCCAGTACTGGACACAGTACTCTAGATGCATCCTCACCAGTGCTGAGTAGAGAGGAAGGATCACCTCCCTTGACCTGCTGTCAGTGCTCTTCGTAGTGTAACCCAGGAGGCTCTCGGCCTCTTCTTCTGCAAGAGTACATTACTGGCTTATGTTCAGCTTCGTGTCCAGCAGGACCTCGAGGTCGTTTTTGGCAAAGATGCTTTCTAGCTGATCAGCCCCCAGCATGTAGTGATGCATGGGGTTATTCCTGACCAGGTGCAGGACTTTGCACTTCCCTTTGTTGAACTTCATGAGGTTCCTGTTGGCACCAGTTCTCCAGCCTGTCCAGTTCCCTGTGAATGGCAGCACAACTGTCTGGTGTATCAGCTGCTCCTCCCCTTCTGTATTGTCTGTAAACTTGCTGAGGGTGCGCTCTGCCCCATCATCCAGGTCATTAATGAAGATGTTAAACAGTGTGAGCCCCAGTATCAACCCCTAGGGTACACCACTAGTGACATGTCTCCAAATGCACTTTGTGCCACTGCCATCTTCAGTCGTACCTTGCAGCCTAAATCAGATGATTGAGAATCAGTCTTTTCGTCAGTGGCGAATGAGTTTACCCAGTAACAAAGCACTTTGTAATATTTCGTTAGGGGAATCATTTTAAGTCTAATTTGTTTCTGCAAACTTGATTTATGTTGAAAAAGGAATAGTTATTGGCATGTGGTGCATATGTTAATTGTAAATAGGAACAAGCAATCTTGAGAAGAAAATACGGGCATGGTTCTTCACAACACTGCATTTGTCTTGCATCAGATAACCTACAGCAATCCAAGTTCTTAAGCTTGCCTGCAATGAGGCAGAAATGTAGGTGTGAGATTCTCTTTCCTATGTCAGTCACATGAAACAGCTTTGTCAGGAGGCACGGAGAAACCAAGTGGCTCCATTTTGTTCTAGGTGGTGCAATACGTTGTGTTTGGGAGAGTTTACAAGACAGATTAAACTTAAATTGAAGGAGAAAAATCTCATTATTACTTTGTACTTCTGCTTTGCTTATAAAAAGCACTGAATAGTTTGAGGGCAAAGCAGTGAGACATGTGATGTGCCTTGTCCCATTATACTCCAGGAAAAGTGAGGGTCTCAGGCTAATCACTTCTCTGTTTTTGACCCGTTTCTTTGGCATCTCCTGTGAAACTGCAGAATAAAGTGAGACTTCCAGAATGTCCTGTGGGCTTGTAATGGCATTTTATAAGTCAAAACATTCACCCTTTCCTTACAGGAACTGATACACTGAAAATATTAATGAATATCAGTTTCAGTGTTGTCTCATTGAATAAAACTTTAATTCAGAAGTTGTCATAGTAGGAGAAGAAAGGCAGTGGGGTAAATCTAGTTCAGAGTGATTTTTATTAAGGTTAATGGCAAACCATATGTCCTGTGTCCATGAATTTGAATGAATTATGCAAAACAGGGAACAGTCCTTTCTGTTGAAAATTTTCTGTATTTACTTGAGTTAGGTGTTATTTTCAGTGCCTCCATTTGGTGTCTCTAAAGATACATAATTTTACAGCGTT